CCCTGGCGGGGGCGGCTGGAGGGGGCCCCGGCCGAGGGGCTGCCGCCGGGGCCGGCCCCCCGCTGTCCGGCGGGAGAGAAAGGCACCGAGAGCCGCATTCGCCGACCCATGAACGCTTTCATGGTGTGGGCGAAGGACGAAAGGAAGCGTCTGGCGGTGCAAAACCCCGACCTGCACAACGCGGAGCTCAGCAAGATGCTCGGTGAGGAGCGGAGGGGTGCGGGGTTTGGGGGGGAGGCTACGGGGTGGGCACCCGTGCACCCATAGCCATCCCCGGGGGTGCAAACCTCTCCGACTTCAGTCCCCTGGGGTGGGCACCCATGCACCCATCGGCTGTTCCCGGGGGTGAAAACCCTGTCTGGCTTTAGTCCCCTGTGGTGGGCACCCATGCACCCACAGCCATCCCCAGGGGTGCAAACCTTGTCCGGATTCAGTACCCCAGGGTGGGCACCCACGCACCCATCAGCTGTTCCTGGGGGTGCAAACCCTGTCTGGATTCAGTCCCCTGGTGTGGGCACCCGTGCACCCATCGGCCATCCACAGGGGTGCAAACCCTGCCCGGACGGGGACCCATGCACCCTCCCTGCCACCCCACGGGGTGCAAGCCCTACCCGGCTCTGGCAGCAGCACCCTGGGGTGCCTGCATCCTCCCAGCCGCCCCATGGGATACAGGCGGGTCCGGCACGCAGGGGGTGGGCACCCGTGCACCCACATGGCCACGTTGCAGGGTGCAAAGCCTTCCCGGGTCCAGCACCCTGGGATGACATCCACCTTGTGGGGTGCAAAGCCTGATGGGGTCCCGCACCCCAGGGAGCAGGGACCCACGCATCCACCCCGCCACAAACCCCTGCAGCGACCCACACTCTGGGTGCATGCACCCACCCGGCCACCCCTCAGGGTGCAAAGCCCGACGGTGTCCCGCGCCCCAGGGGACAGGCAGACATGTGCGTGCCCTGCCACCCCTCAGGTGTAAACCCTGCTGGGGTGCAAACCCCTGGGCTGCCAGTGCAGGGATCCCCCAATGCAGCGCAAGGAGGGGCCCCCACATTTTCCTGACCTGTCTTTGCTGTCCCACTTTGTCCCCAAACTCACGAGCCCACCCCAATATTGCATGTCCAGGGGTGGTGGGGTGGTCTTTCTGCTGTTTCTTTTTGGGGATCACCACCCATTTTGAATACACATTTGTTTCCCACTCCCCATCCACTGTTCCCCCCTTATCCCAATCCCCATTTTTTTACACAAAACCAAGAGGGAAACAGAAATAACCAGCCCAGACAGCCTGAGAAAGAGCTGCCCGAATTGCAACACAGCTTTGCTGTCCAACCTCTTACCCAAAGTTTGTGTTTCCCTGGACAGTTTTGTGGTGTTTTCTTTGGTGGTTTGGGTTTTCTCCTCGCTGCTTTGCCATGCAGCATCTCGGCTTATTAGTGTTATTTCTGCTGTCTCTTTGGCAATGGGAAGGCATCAAACGCTTTGATCCGTACCCTCGTTTCTCCCCCTGTCCTGAGGAACAGCCTGGGGTAGCCTCACCGTGGGATACAACCCCCCGCCCCGGCGCTGGTTCTCTGTCCCGTGTCTTGGGGACATTTTGTGTATCTCAAACAGGGAATGGCAAGGTCGCGGCATCCGGGTCTCTGTACGCCCCGATGCGAGTCCCGGCAGGGCACGGGTTGGGACGCATCCAGGGATGCCACGTCCTGACCCTCTGCTCAACCGTGTGTGGCCTCGGCCGTCCCCGCTCAGCAGCCGGGCTCTCCGTCCTGGAGAGGCATTGCAAGATCAGGCCACGGAGCTGGGCGAGTTTATTTGCCCTGATTTATTTGCAGTGGGGCTCAGCTAACCCTAAGCCCACCCTGTGTGGGGACTTGGGATGGAGGGAGTTGGTGGACCTACGGTGGCTTCAATACCCCCTTTCTTCACCCTCCCACTGCCGTCTCGTCCTCCTGCGGGGTTTGCAGGCTGCGTCCTCCATGTACGCCGGCTCGGATATTGGGAGCCCCTGCCTTGGCCTTGGGTTGTGTGCCTGCACGCTTTGGGAGGCAGCCCCTTTCCTCCCCCTCCGCAGGCACTAAAGGGAGTTTTGTTCTCCGTTTCAGGCAAGTCCTGGAAGGCTCTGAGCCTCTCACAGAAGCGTCCCTACGTGGAGGAGGCCGAGCGGCTGCGGGTGAAGCACATGCAAGATTATCCCAACTACAAATACCGGCCCCGGCGGAAGAAGCAGGTCAAGCGGATCTGCAAGCGGGTGGACCCCGGGTTTTTGCTGGGCAGCCTGACGCGGGACCAAAACACAGTGCCGGAGAAGCGGACCTGCGGCCGGGCTGGGGGAGAGAAAGAGGGGTCGGGTGAGTACGCCCCTCGCCCGGGGCTGCCAGCCGTCCGGGGATACCGGGAGGCCCCGGGCAGCGGCAGCAGCACCAGCGTGGACACCTACCCCTACGGGCTGCCCACCCCCCCGGAGATGTCTCCGCTGGACGCCATAGACCCTGAGCAGAGCTTCTTCTCCTCGCCCTGCCCCGATGAGCATCACCGCTCCCACCTCGCTGGAGCCACCTACTCCCCGGAGTACGCGGGCAGCTCCCTCCCGTGCAGTCACCACCCTCTCAGCCCCATACCGCAGCCCACCACCTGCATGATCCCCCCGGCCTCCAGCTGCCCTCCCCTTCCTCCTCCTCCTCCTCCTCCCAGCTACTACACACCTGCCTTCCCCTCCCTGCATCCCCCTAGCCTCCATGCCCACCTGGGCCAGCTCTCCCCACCACCTGACCACCATGGCTTTGACACCTTGGACCAGCTGAGCCAAGCCGAGCTCCTGGGTGAGATGGACCGCAACGAGTTCGACCAGTATCTCAACAACCCCGGCCATGGTGACCACCACGGCGGGGTCTTGGTCAATGGACACGTCCCGGCGGCTGGCGGCTCCCACACCTCTGAGCCCAGCCTCATCTCCGTCCTCGCCGATGCCACGGCCACCTACTACAATAACTACAGCGTCTCCTAGACCCCCGGCCGGGGCCGCCTGGACCGGCCGAGGAAGGACCCGACACAGTATTACGAGGCGTTGCTCCCCGGGGACATCGCTTGCCGCCCCTTGGGGTGACCGAGTCCGAACCGTGAGGGCCGTGGAGTCTTGGTGGCGTAGGTAAAGGATTTCAGTCGTCAGCTCACCACCGGTGCAAAGCCTCGGGTGCCCTGCTCCAAACGGGGCCGGGAGGGGATTTCCCAATGCCAAAGTCCTTTGGCCTAGTCCCACTTCCAAAGCAGAGATGCTCCTGGGAGCATGGGAAGGCTGCCCCCCATTTTGGGATGCCCCCAGCTCCGCTTTGGAGTCGGGAGGGCGGCAGCATCCTGCAAACAGCAGCTCTGAAGTCCTGGAAGGGGCAAAACCCCCTGGAAGGGGAAAAGGCAGGGATGGGGGGAAAAGGGAAGATTTTGGTAAAGGGGCGCACAGTCTGCAAGCCACTCCTGGTATCGGCATTGCTTACAGCCGCCCTGATCTGCCTGACTGCACCGGCGGGGGTTAAACCTGCCTCGTCCCCCTGCCCCCAGACCGCGAGTTGGGGGCTTCATCCCCAGAGGGGACCGGGACACCAGGGATGCTGCCGGGCTGGCCCCAGGGATGCTCGGGGGGCTGCAGGGGGGCAGCCAGCCCCAAGGGCGCTCAGGCTGTGCCTTCCAGAGGAGGGTAAGATCAGGGCTTGGATAGGCGGGATCCGGCCGGCATCCACCCCTACCCGTGGCTTCCCCTTGGCCTCCCAGCAAAAGCGCTCCGAAGCGGGGCGACGGCGTGAGCTGCCCTCCCCGCCGGGCGGGGAACGCGTCCTGGGACGAGCACTTGGGCAAAGAGGTGATGATGTAGCAGGCACATTTTTTATCAAACATCCTTTGAAGGCGAACGCTTCACGTTTCGAGCCGCAGTGCCCAATGCCTCTTCTAACTCCGGCGTATTATTGCTTGTAATAAAGCTGTACATTGATTTATTCCTTCCATTATTCCTCCCCTTGGATTTTGTATTGCTCGAGTTCTCTTCCTTTTCATAAACATGAAGCTTTATTTTAAATCAGTTATATGACATAATTAATCTTAGTGTTTACTGTATGGCACTTGGTAATGATTAGTTAGTAGCGTGGCTATGATTTTCTGGTTTCAGTCCCGAACGTGTATTAATAATAATTGCAAATAATACTTAAAAAGCCCCACAACTTCACAGGTTTTTAAGCTAATACATTCCATCTTTTTTGTGTGACTCTATGCATTTTGAATGAGTGTAGATATGAGTTTGCATAAAATATTTAATTTAAATAAATATGTTTTTATACGATGATTGTTTTATGTTTTAAATTGCTGTAGCTATTGACAAAGTTTTCAAAACAGAAACATTTCCTGTGTGAGTGCTATTTTTTTAATTTTTTTTTTTGTTGGTATTTTCAGCCAAACTTTTCTACTTCCATTTTTTTTAAATAAAAAAGATCTGTGGTTATCTTTACAAATTGTGGATTGCTTTCTAACAAACCGACTCGAGGCATGGTATGTGCGTACCTTCAGTTTTCATGGTGTGTCTCGGGCAGCAAGTCACTTCGACAGCCTTGATCCCGCTTTCACCATCTCATGAGTACGACCTTTTAATGCCAGGTCCTATGTAGATATTACAGCGAAGGCAAAGCTTTGCTTTTGGTGTGTTGGTGAGCACAAATGACGTTGCCTATTTAGGGAGCAAGAGCCAGTGTCTGGAGCGTGGTTTTTATTCACATTTAAGGCTGTCTTTCACACTTCGTGTTGATGCACCGCTTAAGGTGCTCCACAGTGCGAGGGCCACGTAAAGGGGCCTCAGTGCAAATGTAGACCAAGGCAATGAGGCCTGAGAAATGGAGTGGGGGTCAAATTTGGGGAGCTGCGTGAAGGGTGCTCTTGTAGGTGGATGTGGGGTGGCGGCCTTCAGGCATCGCTAGTGAAGAGAAAAGCTTAGTCCTTCTTGCAGTCTGTAGACCAGCATCACAGACTGCTCTTGCCAGACATATTAAATTAAGCTGTGTCCCTGCGGTCCTTGAGGTTGAGCCATGCAAACCTGCCAAAGCAGTGTCCTCCCAGGCTGTGTCCTCCTGCTTGGCCCCAAAAAGCAGAGGAGCAAGTTTCCTAATGCACTTTGTGATGCCTGCTTATATGTGTTGACTGGAAGGGGTCTCCAGAGGTCACTCAACCCAACCCAAGGCAACCCAACCCAACTGGGCTGGCTTGCCTGCCATGAACGACTTATCTCTGACTTAGGTAGGCCATGGTCCCAGAAGGTGGGAGGCTGCATGAGTATTTGGGGAGGCACCAACATGCCCCTGTTCTGTGCTTATGGTCGTCCTTGGCCCACCACTCATAGACAGCCCTCCCATCACACGCTACTGCCTCCTTTGCCCATTGCTCAGGCCTCCAAACCCACCCTTGGCCACGTGCAGCCGGTTTCCCTTTTAGGGGGAATGAAATGGATGCCTTTGGGTGTCCTGCTGGCACCATGGACTGTGGTGGCTCTTGCACCCGTGCAGCACAAGGGTGCGACGCTTGGTGCGGTGCCGAGATAGCCGGTGCAGCAGCCCGGCTGGGGCAGCGTCGCTCTTCCAAGAGGATTTGTGAATCAGCCCAAGAGGGCTGGAGAGAGGGAGGTGCCGTGAGCCTGTTTGGCCTCTCTGCCCAGTGGCGTTGACTCAGGTGGGACCATGCCAGGAGCAGGAGCAGGAGCAGGGCTGGAGAAGTCCTGCTCCTCCCACCTCCTGCTCTGCCCACAATCCCTGTGGTGCCCCAGGGCCGAGGGATGCTCACAGCCCCCCAACAGCACATTAAAAATTGTTCATAGCAGGGGTGGCCCAAGTGCATGTGTCCAAACCTGGATCTGTCTTTCAGCCAGCAAATCCAGGGGGCTGCTCCCTTCCAAGCAGGGTCAACCACCCCAGGACATCAGAGGGGCACCCACCCCTGGGCACTCTGCAAATGTCACTTTCTGCCAGCTCGGATGCAGGGCCAGCTGAGAACGGTGTAATGAGTTTTCAGATTGCCTTGGTGAGGAGGCACAGAGCACATCCCCTGGCCCCCCAACAAGGTCGGCTCTTGCTATTGCCACCAGCATGCTTGATTTGGGCTGTTGCATTTATCCCCCCAATGGGACCCTCTCTGCAGGACATTGGCCGCTCCTGCCTGTCCTGCTCCTTGTTCCCATGCCCTGAGCAGTGACGGGATCGACTGAAACACCCCATGAGCCTCTTCTCCCCCTTCCCTTCTCACAGCCAGGGTCACATTTGGGGTTGGTGGAGGCAAAGCCCACGCCAAGAGCTCCTGGCAGCACGTGCGGTGGTGGCCAGAGACTGGTTTCCCTGGGAAAAGGGGTTTCTCCGTGCATCCCAGCCCCAAGGAGCCCGCTGGGCTGGGATGCACGGAGACTCCAGCAAGCCAAGCCTGTCCCCACTTGCTCAACTTGGAGCTGCGTGAGGAGAGGTGGGAGCGTGTCCCCGTGCTCTCTGCACGTCAGGAACAGCTACAGGCCCCAACCGGGAGCTGGGGCCCCCCGAGGGCGTTGGGAGCCGCAGCCAAGGCAAGGTGCGGCTCCCTGGGAGCCAGGCCTCGTCGGACGGATCCGGGCACACGCCCAGCGCCGGGAGCAGCCGGCTTCCACCTCCCAGGACACCAGCAGCTGAGATGAAATTTGTGAGTGGAGCCATCCGCCCCTTCTCCGGCAGGATGGAAAATGCAACGCTACAGGTTGCCCCCCACCCCACAGCACGTTTTTGGGATGCAGGGCATTGCTGCAGGGACCAGCCAGAAAATAAGTGGCTGACAGAGGTGGGAAGGAGCCTTTTTTCTTGGAAAGTGGACATCCCCACAGAGGACTGATGGCCACGGTGGTTTATGGATGTTGGGGGGGTCTGCACCCCCAGAGGATCTCGTTCTGCATCAGTCCTGGGCATGTTTCTCCTCCCTCCCCATCCCAAACCCGTGACCCCAAGGCTGTCTCTGTGCACGGCGAGGAGTCTTGTGGTTTGTGGGTTGCTTTCTCCAGGCTGGGACGGGCTGTGAACCAGCAGGAAGATCAAATCAGGTCTGCAGGAAAGGATAAAATGACCTCACTCCACTTTTGGGCTCCCGCTCAGATTGGGCCAAGGCAAGGGTCTCTCCTTGCCAGGCGGTGGCCAGGGTGTGAGTCCTCTGCCTCTGGTGTTCGGCGGCCCCAGCCAGCCCTTGGCACTCATGGCTGTGTGGGTCACGGTGCTGGGCGTCGGGAACAGGGATGAGGTCACCTTCCCGGATAGCTCTGGGGTTTGGGCTGGCCAGGAGCTGCGGTGTGTGTCATGCCCTGACCCTCCCAGGATGGGTGATTTCCTTTGCATCCCTTGAGCAGGTGGTGACTTCTCTCCATCCTCGCTCCACAGGCCACATCTGCTTGTCCCAGTGCCACCAGGCGGGGGTAAACCCTGAAGAGAAGCAGCCGCATGGCTTTTCCGTGCCTCAGTTTCCCTGTTTGTAAAAAAAAAATACTACTTCCTTCCCTCCCATCATTTTCTGTCCAGCATTGGCACATGATCTTACCAAAACTGTGAACAGGACCAAGTACTTGTGCTGCCTTTATCACAAGGGGTCTCTACCCCATGCGAGGGCTCTGGATGCTGAAATGAGGTGGGAGATGATTATTTTCCCTCTACGGCTCTCAAAGCAGAAGGCAGAGGAGGGAAGTAGAGGCAGAGAAGGGGGAGAGGAGACATGACTGAGGTCACCTTGCAAATCAGTGGCAGAGCCTAGGGGAGACCCTCAGCACTGCTAACACCTTGACACTGCCAACACCTCGACACTGCCAACACCTCGACACTGCCAACACCTCGACACCAAGCCCCAAATCCCTTTTTGCCCCCATCAACCCCTTTCTGCTCACAAGTAAATACCTTCCCCCTCCATCTCTCTTTGCCCCCATCTCACCCCAATTCCAAACGCCGCTGCACCGCGCGGGGAGCCGCACAGGGAGGAGAGGAT